CTGCACAGCCTTGGCAACACCACCTTCAGCAGCCTCTTTTATGTTACTATAGTCATGGTAACAGTACAAGCACCTTTCCTGTTTACTTTGGGGTTTTTTGATACAATTTGATAAAATATATAACATGTTCTGAGGAGACTATTATCAGATAAAAGCAGCCTGAATTTTAAATCCAGGAATGTGCTAAAAAGTGAATGATAGAAATGTTGAACAAGCTATTTTAAATGGAAGTTAAGGAAAGAAATGCTAGTCTCCTGCAATAATACATGATGTGCCCTGTGTTTGGCTTCAGGACTGAAGGCAGGCAACTAGGAGGAGAGAAAGGGAGGAGTAACTTCAACATGGGCTAAAGAGAAAACAAGTGGATTGGAGCACCTGCTCTGGGTAACTTCAGTAGCATTGTTTTAGGGTACAGCTTTCCTAAAACTCTTCCAGAGCATGCTGGTGTAGCAATTACTGGTAGGACAGTAGTAACCTGTGATATTGGCTGATGTCAAAGTAGCTAAGGAATATTGTCTATGAAATATAATGCTTACTCTGTTATAACTCGCATAAGTCAATATTGCAAATCTTTCAAGAACAAGTACCTTAGGATAAAATTGTTTAGAATTAAGTGTTCTGCCATGCCAGTCTTCCTGCAGGGTACTGGCTTGTTTCTGCAGTAGGCAGATCCCTGGAATATATTCTCAAAGCATCAAGAACATAACAAGATACACTTGGGGACATGAGCGTCTTTGAGAGCTGGTTATGTAGAGACAGGGGAATTAAAACACTCTACAAACCCTGGCCACCAGCAGCCATCTGGCACACAGCAGAGTGCTGGGCAGCATGGCTGAGAAAGTGACTCAGAGGGTGAATATATGATAAGTGGAGCCGACCCTTTAATAGTTATGAAAGGAAAATTATATTCCCTGGGTAAGTCTAAAAGGTATGAGAGTTTAGATGTTCTGTATCTGGCAGTCTGGGTACTTTAGAGAGGCAGTTTAAGAAGTAGTGCATCCACACATGTAAGTCCTCTGTGTTTCCCAAGAGATGCACTGGCCCAGAGGAACTTATCACTTGAGAGGGTAATGGTGAAGACATTGAAATGATTTCAAAGCCTGGCAGTTAATGCTTCTTGCAGACAAAACTTTGCAGCCTCAGAGCAAAGCCGATTGTTGCATTTTTTGCCTTTGTCTTTCATGAAAAGTATTCTGAGAAAATGAAGCTGTACAAAGATAGTTTTGACCTTCTTATGATTACATGATAGATTTTAATTTTGAAGCAAGCAACCTCTGAGTGATGGCAGAGCAACTCTTGCACTTATTGGGGATGCACCCCTAAGAAAGTAAAGCAGAGCATTTGAGTCACAAAGATCCTCACTGCATTTGGTGTGGGGATAGGAGCTGGTATTAATCACTGCAGCTCTTGAATCACACAGCATTAACAAAGACCCTCAGTATTGTTGATTCCTCTCCAAATCAGTTGCTTTTCAATACAGTAACCACTGCTCACAAAAAAAAAATTCTCTGTCCAGTATCCATTCTGTCTGCTCACTGAATGTGGGAAGAGAATGAGATTTAAACCTTGCTGGCTTGTGAGACAGATGGGAGGAAAGACAGAGCTACAATGCTTGCTCTGCAGTTAGCAAGTGTTAATCCTGAGGTCGAGAGGTTACAGCACTGGCGGGGTTGTCTTAAGTACACAAGGCTTTTCCTGACTGATCTGTTTATTTGCTGTGTTCTTTCAGGACCCTGTCAAAGACGGTGAAACAAAAATCAAGGCGGACTATGCTCAGCTGTTTGAGGATATGCAGAATGCATTTCGCAGTCTGGAAGACTAGACTCGACCTCTGTGACCACTCCACTTTGTCCTCTCAGTTCCTCATCTCAGCTCCTCTGCTTCCCTACCTTACAAGAATGATGCAACAGTACTTGAGTTGATAAATTACCCTATGTTTTCCCTGTTCATACTCAGAGAGTGTCTTTACAAAACATTCCTCTTAGTTTGTATTTGGCATTGCTTTGTGTGTCTGAAATGGTGAGTGATGTGTGAATGAGCCTGGTTGAGTGAGGAAATGCTGTTGTACACTTCTAGGGTGGGAAAAATTTAACCTTTCCTCTCCCAGCTCTCTTGGTAACCAGTCTTTCGTCTTGGGATGGAACCAATTGAGCTGTACTGGCAGAGGAGGTGTAGGTCTTCATGCAGCCATGCGGTACATTGCGAGCTGGCAGTGGTAAGGGCATTTACACCTGGCACTTTGCTAAGTGACTATCAGATGTAGAACTCCCTGTTCTCAAGCAGAATTTTTGACCATACTCTGATGACATGTTGATCAACTAAAAATTCTTCACTACTCTGTAACTTCTCTCAGTTGAGTCTGTTGGTATTGAAATGCGGTGGTAGTTGTGGTTCTCCCCAAGAAGGGACTAACTAGAAGATGAGCACATACAAGCAACCAGTATAATTTTGTGCACTGGAGAAATACAATTTTATCTTCCTACGTAGTGCAGATAGTACTGTTGGTCTCAGAATCAGCTAAAATCAAAGCCATAGGTGCTTAGCTTCCAGCAGGATTTTACCTTCTTGGCTCCCACTCACCCCATAAACCTTTGTGACACTCAGCTGCTGTAGTTTGTGAAGCTTGTGACTGCTGCCATGTATTGCAGGATGTAGATGGCAAGTCACAGTGATGCCACATGTGTGGACCAGAATGCAGTCCTTCCTTGGTGGTGCTCTGTCTGCCAGTGCAGCTGCCCCCCAGTGCAGTGCCTGGGTCATACCAAGGAAAGGAAAGCGTGTGCTTAGCCTTCCTCCTCCACCTGTGCTCACAGGGCCTGATGGGTGGTGGCACAGAAGGTCCCCAGTTCCTGTGTAAGAGGAATGTATGATGCTAAACTGGGGATGGGGGATGAACAGGGGAAGGTTGACGAGTACAAAATGTATTTACTCCTGCTTTGTTGATTACGATGCGAGAGAAACCAGTGACTCTGGTCTTCTGCTCTGTGCTCTGGAAGCACTGTCAAGCAGCTGAAAATTGCTGTCTCTTGAGCTTGTTTATTGGCAAAATTAGAATGAGGTGAGGAATGAGCAGAGGACAGCCTTTCTGTCAAAGTCCCCGAGCCCAGCACTCATCCCATTGCTGCAGAGCAAGAGAGAGAAATGCTGGCATCCTCTCCAGTCTGTCCCTCTTGCTCGTGTCAGGTGGCATCCAGTGCTACTTGGCTGTGCAGCACCCTGTGCCCAGCTGGGTTCCAGCTGCCATCTGCTGCTTTGTTACAGTCCCGAGACAGTACCTGTTGTTGGTGACACTGTGCCTCCATACGCGTTCAATTCTGCACTGAAGTATTTCCACCAGCCGCCAGCTTTGAACAGTAGTGACGCAAAGGGATCTTGTGCTATGGACCAAATGCTGCCACTTCCATTATGGTATCAACCCACTGTTTGTCAGGGGAGAGCCCAGCTGAAACTTAAAGGGATTAACTGGTTTTGGTTCTCCCAAAAGAAACTGCTCCTCCAGCTGATGTTCTGGTAGCGAACGCTTAAGTTTACAGCTCACTAAACTTTTGATGTATGCTGCTTATTTTATCAATGAGCATGTGTGAATGAGTGGTCACCATCCAAGCCCTTGCTGGGCTCCTCATCATTTGTACCCTTCACCACTGTACAATGTAGCATTTCATGCTAGAAACCAGATGTTCTTATCTCTTTAAATAGAAGATGTTATAAACTTTACAGAAGATGTCTGAGATAATGCAGTTCTAATATTTATTGTGCTGTACCTGGCCCTGAAGTGTGACCAGTTCAAACAGTTTCATATATATTTTTGTCTTTTTTGTTTTGTGTCTGTTTTGAGTGTTGAGATTCTGATGTTCACTGTGTCCTGCAAGTCTTCCCTCCACAGCTGTGGGAGGAATTACAAGATGGGCAGAACCCCACCACCTACTTTATCTTGTATATTTCATAATGTATGTTGCTGGAAATTGTGTAAAAAAAAATAAATTTAAAAAAATTGTTGAAGTCAATGAAAATAAAATTGATTTAAAGTAGGTCTTATTTGTCCTGTTTACTTATGTCAAACCAAACCTGTGCCACAGTGGTGTATGTAGCAGACCATCAGGAAAGCTCACAGCTTGCTTAAAAAAATTACTTCATCAGTTTAGGGATTTCTTTAAACCTTTAAGCAGCAGTGGGGCAGGGATGCTTTACTTCAGTTCTCCCAATTCCAGTACAGCTTGCAGGATCACAGAAGTATTAGGGTGGGAAGGGACCTCTGGAGATCTAGTCCAACCCCCCTGCTGAGGCAGGGTGACCTAGAGCAGGTGACACAGAAACTCATCCAGGTGGGTTTTGAATGTCTCCAGAGAGGGAGCCTCCACAGCCTCCCTGGGCAGCCCGTTCCAGTGCTCTGCCACCCTTCATGTGGCAATTTCTTACTCATATTGAGATGGAACTTATTGTGTTTTAGTTTATAGCCATTGTTCCTCATCCTGTCACTGGAAACCACTGAAAGAGACTGGCACTGTCTTCTTGGCACCACCCCTGAGATATTTATATGCAGTGATGAGATTCCCTCTCAGTCTTCTCTAAACAGGCCCAGCTCCTGCAGTTTCTCCTCATAAGACAAATGCTCCAAACCTGTAATCATCTTTACAGCCCTCCACTGGACCCTCTCCAGTAGCTCCTTGTCTTTCTTGTACTGAGGAGCCCAGAACTGGACACAGTACTCCAGATGTGGCCTCACTAGGGGCAAGTAGAGGGGGAGGATCACCTCTCTTGACCTGCTGGCCACACTCTTCCTGATGCACCCCAGGACACTATTTGCCCTCCTCACCACAAGGGCACACTGCTGCCTCATGGTCAACTCGTCATACACCAAGACTCCCAGGTCCTTCTGAGCCGAGCTGCTCTCTAGCAAGACAGCCCCCAGCCTGTACTGGTACTTGGGGTTATTCCTCCAGGAATCAACTTGGACATTACGTGAAAGAGTTATAATGCAGTAAGTACTCTTGGGGGAGATATTTTTAGGATTACTTTTATTACAATAAAGGTGTAACTGTAAGCTTGCCTTTTGCTGCTAGTACCTGCCATGCACGCTAATGCAACAATTGCAATTGAACCACTTTATGGTACTTAGCTAAGCCTTAAAATCTTTCCCTGCTGTATACCTCATGCTGTGGAATATACCCCCTAAAATATCAGCTGTGTGTTTCAGATAAACCAATTGGAGCTTTGGGATCAGAAGACGAGCAGCACTGCCCCCCACAGCAACTCCTTTTAAATAAGGAGTTGAGGCCTTCTGTAAACAGCAACAGATAAATTAAGGATATACTAAAAGCATCACATTTGGGCATTTTTGTACATTGACCAGTATGTAACACCTCTTTGAAGAGAGTGTTCTGACATTTTATGTAATATATTAAGAGATACAGCAAGCTGAAGGTGTTCAAGTAATTCTACCACCTCGCAAAGGGGTAGAAGTCACAAGCTCATTCCTGGCAACCACAGACTAGCCAGTAGTTCTCTGTGGATATTAAGAAATCCATCAGGTGAAGTGATGAGTTCAGGTTTTGGCAGTTTGGAAGTTACCAACTGGCAGCGTCCTCACTTCATCCACTCGGCTTTTGTGGATCTGAAAGGCTGGTGTCACCCAGCGGCCACAGGAACACTGCTCACCCCTCCAGCTGAAAGAGCCCAGCTTCGATGCACATTTGGGACACAGAAGCTGCAAGAAGAACACAGGACTCGGTCTAAGGCATGTGAGATGTAGATCTCGTTAAAAACAGACCAAAAAGGTAGACTGGGATGGCTGTATTGCTGTTTAGCCCTGAGGTGTAGCAGGCAGCTGTGCTGGCAGAAGGGATGGTGTGGAAATGCAGCTGCTGGGACCTGGTGTGGTTCCATGACAGTTTTACCAGGGTCGAGAAAGACTCAGTCAGCCTGAGACCACAATGGGTTTTTTAAGTCCCACAAATGTTTCTCATACTAAAACAAACAGCAGATAAACCCTGTCCAATACCCTGGTGTTCTCAGCCCAACCCAAGCAACAGCTCATTTCCTTGTAAAAGGGTATTTTACATTTAAGAATCTGCCCATAAGCTGCAAAGTTCATGCCAGAAAGGCTGGGAGACCCAGGTCCCTTGGGGGGGGGGGGCGTTCTTTCAGGGAACAGACAGAGTTTGTTTTGCCTTTGAAAAAAAAACAACCAAACAAACCAAAAAAATAAAGCGCATGCTCCACCTGTCCTTCCATTACTCCAAGCAATGCTGGCTCCATCCACTGCACAGGTTCAATGAAGTAAGAGGTGCACTTTTCATGGCCATTGCCACAAAGCCGTGCAGAGTCCGTTATCCTCTTGTGGGCAAAGGCTGTTGGTCCGCTTCCCTCCATGTGGGACAAAATGCTGGAACTACGGAACAGAGCGCGTCTGCCGTCCATGACACAGGGGGGGGAAAAAGAAACAAAATAAATGCCACTTTTTAAAATGGGGAAATCTACAGACAATAGAAAACAGGGATATGAACCTCCTGACAGTAAGTAATTACACAGGAGTACAAATCCGACATTTTTAAAAATTAGTGTAGAAGGCTTGCAGGCACTGACTACATTCAAGGCTGCTCCTTAACAAATCTAGGGTTTGTGTAGGCCGGGACTCTGTCCCAGAGCTGTATGCTGTCTTTTATATTTTTAAACAATTCCTGACTAGTAAAACCTAAAATCTACAGTCATACGCTTGAATAAACCTACACCCAGGCCATAGCAGGATTATTCAATTTCCCTTTAAGCAATCCATAAAAAGTAGTTAAAATTCACTGAATCCCCAAATCTACCAGAAGTTTCTTCTGGAGAAACCGACGGTCAAAACTCAAACTCTAAGCTAAGGTTTAGGAGCAAAGACTCCATAAAGCTAAGTGGAATCATGCTTGCCTACAGAACATGGCAGGTGAGGTCGCACCAGTGCTGCATCACAAGTTGTGAAAAGGTTTGCATTTTGTACTTTGATTTGATTTCTTTTTGGCACACACAGTATGGAAACTTAGGCAACAGCTCATCCTTGACTTTACGATAATGACATGCCCATTGATCTACATGGGCTCTTCTTCTCTTGAGTGGATTCCACAATGACATTTTAAGGAGAAATACAAAGTATTTTTTATATATATATATATATGAATAATTATTTATATATCTAAAGTACCTGCATTTCCTGCACCTGTAGAGAACCTCTGTGTTTGGAGTTTGACATATACTGGTTGGATCAACAGCAAAGACTTCTCGGGGCAAGTCTTGAGGTTCTGCAGAGGGGTCAGTAACAAGTTGTGGATCAGACCAAATCAGCCACACTGCATTCCTGGGAACAAGACAGGACTGCGTCTCTGCCCCAGCCCCAGCATGCAGGACCCACCTTCTTCTCTTTCATTTTCTTCTCACCAATTCCAGTAGATTAAGCTAAAAATGAAAGAGCCTCATCCCACCACACCTAAGACTGGGATTTGCTTAATGCAAGAAACTGATATCTAGACTATGGCCTTAACAATGGTAAAATAGCTGTAATTTGCTTTATTTTATTACTTAAACAGAAAGTAAAGGCAGAGGAGGTGTTGGAGCAGTTCTGCCAATGTTTTAGTGCATGCAATACAGAAAGTCAGCTTACAAATAAGAACTGATAAAGACAATGACACTTGAAGGGTGACAGCACTGTCATGCTGGGTATGCAACATCAAGATCTTGCAAGAAAAGCTACAGATTATTATTTTATTAAAAAATTACACATATGCACACAGATTTATCACAGTTACCCTCCAGCAAATTGAAGTATAAAAGTTGACTTCAGATTTCAACTTCATCTCAAGTTTTGTGTGTTATTTTTAATTTTTTAATCTCATTGACTTCTTTTCTGAGGATGTTGCTTGCTTTGCCAGAGACACAAAAATCACGAAATGTATCAAACTGACCTTTACCATTTTTGCACTTTGCTAAAAAGCACAGCACCTTACGGATCTTATTTCTCAGGCATCTCTCAAAGGCACATTTTTTCTCCGCTGATTAGCTGGGGCTCTCTAGGGTCAGCACGATGTAAATGCTTGCCTGGCCAACTCCTGGCTCGGCTGCTTTGAGGGCAAAACTCGAAGCCAACCCTCTTTGACACGGCCTTCTGTGTTCATTTCGGGACAGACAGGCCCCACTTCGGACACTGCCCCAGGCTTCGCTCCGCGCACCCGCCGCTGCTCCCACTCACCGGAGAGCCTCTCGCTGAGCATCTCCAGCCGGTACCGCTTGTAGAGGACGCTGCCGCTGTCCACGGCGCAGCCCATGGCCTCGTACAGCTTCAGCTGCCCCTGGAAACCCGGGTTCACCCTGCGGCGGGGGCGAGAGGACAGCGGGGTGAGGGGGCGCCGGCCGGGCACGGCGCGGGGGGCGCGGGCGGGGCACCCACTCTGCGTCCGGCTTGGCGGCCCTGACGGCGGCGAGCGCCTCCTCACAGCCGAGCCCCTGCGTCTTCATCAGGTAGGCGGCGACCACGGCCACGCTGCGGCTCACCCCGGCATGGCTGCAAGGCAAGGGCAGGCCGTCAGCAGCGCGGCCCGCGGGGAGCGCTCGGCCCCGCCGCCGCCGCCGCCCCGGAGCTCACCAGCGGACGAGCGCGGCCCCGCCGCCCGCCCGCGCCGCGCCCAGGAACGCGGCGCATTCGTCCAGCCGGCTCAGCAGGTCCGTGCCGGGCTCGTCCCGCGCCCTGACGTGCATGGCCCGCACTCCCGGCACGGCCGGCGGCTCCTCCGCGTCCACCGTCAGCACCGCCACCACCCCCGCCGCCGACAGCGCCTCTGGGCACGAGCACGACTCCGCGCCGCCCACGTAGAGCCCCGGCAGCACCGCCACCAGCCCGCCGGCAGCCGCCGCCGCCGCCGCCATGGCTGCGACGGGCGTGAGGGGAAGCGCCGCCCTCGGCGTGGCGCGGCTGCGGCTGCGCTCCCGGCACCGGGGTCAGGGCGCTGCTTTCATTTTTGGCCGCCGGCGTTTAACTGCTGACTTCCATTGTAATCCTTACGCATCTGTGCGTTCCAGTGCAGTTCTCTCCTCCGTCCTTTTCAAAATCAAGGGGTCTCCTACCTCCCCATCTCCTTACAAATGCTCAGAAAGCACGTATCACAGAGTTCCCACGGAATCACAGAATGGGTCAGGTTGGAAGGGGCACGGCGCGTCATCTGGTGCAACCTCCCTGCTCAAGCAGGGTCATCCTAGAGCACATGGCACAGGATTGCATCCAGATGGTTCTGGAATATCTCCAGTGAGGGAAACTCCACACCCTCTCTGGTCAGTCTGTTCCAGTACGTGGTCACCTGCACAGTAAAGAAGTTGTTCCTCATATTCAGGTGGAACTTCCTGTGCATCATTTTCTGCGCATTGCCTCATGTGCTAGTGGCTGGCAGCACTGAGAAGAGCCTGGCTCCATCCTCTTGGCACTTGGCACGGTCCCCCTCCCTTTTTTATATCATTAAAGAATCTCCCAGTATGTTGTTATTAAAATTCCATTATTTTTAAATTAATTTTGTGGGTTTGAGGTCTCCATTTGCTACTGTTAGTATGTTTTCTCTCAATTTTTATTTTTTTTTCTTTGGAGGTGGGGTAGAAACAGCTCTTCAACAATCAGAGTGGTTTTCTGGTAACTGGTTTCTTCCAAGTGGAGTTGATAGGCTGCTCTTTCGAGATGGGTGCCTGGATTTTGCTTCAGTGCAACTTCCAGTGGGGGGCTGAATAGATAAAAGCAGATCAGAGGTGAGCACCACAGGAAAACCCAGTGTCTGAACTTCCAGTTCTCATTTTTGCTATTCTTACTACTCAGAGAAATCTTGTGATGCCAATGGCAAACGTGGTGTGAAAAGGAGCAGTTATCTGGGAAGCTTATGGAAGCCACATTGGTATCCAGATTTGTGATTATGAATACTAGCTTGGAGATTAAAACCAAAGAGCAGGGCTGTGAAGAGCCTTCAGTTGCTGATCCCTGGCTTCTTTATAGGATGGTAACTGCCAGCAGGAATTCTCCATCTGAGCTGAGTTTGCCTACAGGAAAACAAGTACATGGAAAGTTTGCTGGGAAACTTATCAGCTTATTGCTGAGGTCTGTTACATGGTCACATTTACCTAAGTGGGAGGGCAGTCAAAAGCTCACAACGTTTGACTTTAACTCTTTCTAGATGGAAGCTTCTTATTCAGGACTCAAACTTCAAGCACCTTTTTTAATGTCACGGGTTTTCCATCCCTGTGAACCTTTTTTGTCACACACCTTATGAACTGGTTATGCTTCCCATTGCAGCCTAACTGGAAGCCAGACCAAATAATTCCTCATTGGCCTTGTTGGAAACATATGAATGGTTCTTGCCATTGAAAATCAAATGTCTGGTCCAGCCTGAAACTGCCTCACTGCTTTGTTTTATAGTAGCCCTCATGCAACAAGTAGATTTTGAAGACTTAAACAGGAACTATAAATAAATCCAGATTTTTATTCTGATCTCTTACTGTTAACTGAGCTATTACTTGTATACAGCGCTGAAATCCACAGAATCATAGAATATGCTGAGTTGGAAGAGACCCACAAGGATCATCAAAGTCCATCTCCTGTCCCTGCACAGGACAGTCCCAAGAATTACACCATGTGCCTGAGTGCATTGTCCAAACGCCTCTTGAACTCTGTCAGGCTCGGTGCTGTGACCACTTCCCTGAGGAGCCTGTTCCAGTGCCCAACCACCCTCTGGATTAAGAACACAGTGTAGACAATCCAATGCAGCATAGACAAGAGGCACCACATCCTCTGGAAATCTTTGATTCCAAAGTTTGCCACTGAATACACAGGTGCAGCCACCTTTTTTCTACCCATCATAGGGTCCAGGTCTGGTCTATGGCAAAATGAGACGGAGCACTCACTTTTCCTCCTGCAGATAAGGATACTCTCCCTTAGCTCTTAACAGGATACCTGCACAAAGTACTGCCACCCAATGCATTGCCAGACTTAGCTTTTCTTTCTTGTCTCCAGAGATCCCAATTCTTCATTTAGTACTCAAGCCTTTTTGTCCAAAGAGATCTCATAGCTGCAAGTTTTACCCAGCATAGGCCAGAATTTGCAAGTTTCTGAAGAGAGGTAAAATGTCAGATTTCATTATAAAGGGCTATGCTAAGGCTCTCCCCATGTGGGACATGGAACCTTACCCTGTCTCCACTCTATGGGACAGGAGAGCCTGAAAGGCCCAATTACCTGTCACTGGAAGCATTGTTCCAGCACAGATCTATACAAGACAGCTGTAGGCAGAGCTGTTGCAAAAACATCTGCAAGGGCCTCCTGGATCCTTGCAGGATGCTGACTAGCCATGGAGGAGGTGAGAATGGCAGTCCCCTCAGACCTGATAGGGTGAGACTGAAACCTGTTGTGAAGGGAGATTTTTATCCCTTTCCCACAGAAAAGGCAGATGGATCTGGGGTACTGCAGAGCAGCTGTCCTGCTACAGGAGTGATGTGCCACCACAGAGATGCTGTTGGGGGTGCTACCCATGAAGCATCATCAAGGACACCTCCTCACCAGTGCCAGCAGTTGTCAGTCTTGCTGGGAGATGGACAGTGGGACAATGGCTTCCAGAGCTGTAGAGTTTCCATGTACTGCTGGTGGCGTGCAGAACAGACTGAGATGGCTCTTTGTAGTTCAAATGGGCCCCAAGGTTTCTGTGAGTGCCAGTCCATAGCACCAAGTTTGCTGCCACCCTGCTTCTCCTCCCATGCTTACCCTAGTGCCTGTGTGATTGTGCAGCAGCCCAGCTGGCAAGCTGCCCCAGGCAAAGAAAAATCTCCTCTTTGGATGCATCTGTTCTAAATCGCATAAACCTGACCTAAAGGAAAGGGTCTGACTGTATCTGAGGATGGGGTGTCTCTGACAGCTCCCATGTAGATTATTTTAAGCTACATAACTGTGCAAAATGTCCCCTTCCAGTTGCTATTTCCATCAGTGAGAAATGAAAGGTTTAATGAAAAAGCATTAAAAAATGCAGACAACTTTTCAATAACAGCCTGTATAATCTAGCATGTGAAAAAAAACATAATGAAAAGAAAGACTGATGGAAATTAAAACCGGATCAAACTGTGTTTGGACCTTTACTTGTGAAAGCAGATAACAATTGCACCAAAATATCATGGCAAAAAACCAGATTATCCCTCTCTTGAGCAATCTGAAGGAAGTCTGCAGACAAGTGCAAGTTGTTGAAGGGGCTATGAGTTTTACTGTGGGATTATATTATCCACGGGCTATATAAGTACTAAGAGGTGGTTAATCATCTTTGTTAGCCTCCAAATCTGTGAATTTGCAGGGACAAACAGTATCATCTGCAACGAAAACCAGGCAGGGCTTGCAGATGCAGAATCCCAAGAGGCTGATATAGTTGTTGTGTGACCACTACACTTCTCTGTACCGGTGGAGAAGGAACGTGAAAAAGATGTGATTTCAAAGCGAAAAGCTATAGTGGGGGGAAGTACAAAGTCCATTGGGCAGAGCCCACAGATCAATCAGTACCCAAGGGCTTCACACTACACAACCTTTGCTGTTTCTCTCTACCCCCTTTTGTTGTGTTTGCCACCTGCAGCCTGAGGCAGTGTGTCCTGAATTTGCTCATGACTCCCAAATTGGAGTAAATATTTTTTTCAGTCTGATTAGCAAACTCTTGTTCTCCCCCCCGCCTCTGCCTCCCTCCCATCATCTCCTCTACCACCGAAAATTTTGATGGTTTGTTCTCCCCTGGGTGCCAGGAAACCGTGTGACTAATTAAGCAGTTGGGGCGAGCTCAGGTGCAAGGAAAAAACAAGTCAGATGATGGGCTGCTGCCCACTCGCTCCAGCAAGTGCATTCCATCTCTGCATGTGTCTGCCCTGCTGCTTCATAAGGCAAAAGAAAATGCCAGGCTTCTCTGGGCTGCCCACTCTGCATCCTCACAGCACAACCATATCAGCAAAACCAAGTCTCCTGCTGCAGAAGCAAAAGTATCGAGGTCTGGGGAGAGATGTAACCACCTCTTCCCTCCCTGAAAAATTTGACCTGTGTACTTCATCACACAGCAGGGTGGCTCTGCTCCTTCAGATTTTTAGGCAGTTTGGGGAATGTATATCAGAGAATTTGTGAGAAGAGTCTGCAGCCCATAGCCCAAGTTGCCAGAGGTGGCATGCAGCAAAGTTATGAAAGGGCTAATGGCTGGGGACAGATTCAAAAAGACATATGTGAGAGACAGCAACTCTGGGTCCCTGTGTCCTCTTCGCATGTAAATGGAGCAGGAATTTGGAGCTCCCACTTTGCATGAGTCCTGCTGGTGAAGGAGCCTGGTGGCATTTCTTGCCTCTTGGAGAAGGAGTGTCTCTCATCTCTTGCTGAGCTCAGAACTGTGTGGAAGCTGCGAAGTCCTACACAGTAGCATCTCATCCCTTGGAGCAGGGGATTCCCAGAAGTCACAGTGCTTCTAGCAGCAAATTTAACCTCAGATTTTTTAAAGGCTGCTGCTTCCTGCATTAGTACTATCTGTGCATCTATACTGGACTCCACATCCGTGTATCAGAAGAAAGGATTGCTGCATCTCCCAGCAGAAAACCTCAAAGACAGAGGAAGCTAGCAACAGAGAAAGGAGCTCACTCTTGATTCTCTGCAGGAAGATTTCATCATAACCCCGTGTGGGTGGGATGTTCCTAACCATCTCCATGCTCTAAGCATCTGCAGACATGCAGTTACTCCACATGTCAGACAAAAAAGAAGAGTTTTCCAACTGCAGATTTGATGCTCAATTACAGAATGGAGCCTGACAGCTACTACTACTGGGTATTAATAACTCTGCTTCACTTTATGGCTTTAACAGCTGTAGCAACCAAGATTTATGATGACACATTATGTTCAGCAATGCATCATGTAAGGAAA